TGAGGAGACAATCAGGCAATCCAGAATATGAGATATTGTACAAGACTGCTGGGCCTGAATTCATCCAGTCTGTGTCACGAAAAGCAAACAAAGGGGACTTAAGAGACATAACAGACACCATGTGTTGCCTTGTCAGATCTGAATCCAAAAAACAAAAGTTATAAAGGCATTTTCGGGACTCTTGGGGAAAGTCGAATGTGGACTGAATGTTAGAAAATGTTATTGCATTAATGGTGATGTTCTTGGGATTGCTAATAGCAGTATGATTATGTAGGAAAATGACCTCAGGGATGGATGCTGAAGTAGCCAGGGGTGGCAGGTCATGTCTGCAACTTAATTAAAATGGGCCAGTAAAACCAATATAACACACACACACACACACACACACACACACTTGTGTGGCTCCATCATGTCTGCAACTTAATTAAAATGGGCCAGTAAAACCAATATAACACACACACACACACATACACACACACTTGTGTGGCTCCATGTCAGCAATTGGTGAATCTGGGGAAGGGTCATCTGGGTTCATTGTTCTGTTGTTTCGACTTTTCCGTGGATTTGAAAATTTCCCAAATGAAAAGCACATCAAACAAGTTGAAAAGAGTCTCTGGCTCTTGTCTGACTTGAAAAAACTCAGCCTTCTGTTCCCCCGCCCCTCCTGGGACCTGCCTGAGCACTTCCAGGCATCTGTTGTCTGTGCCCTTTGTCAGTAAGGAGCAAGCAGCTGAGTGGCGGTGCTTGGTGATGGTGGGCTGGGGACAAAGGGTCAGTCTGCTCACAGTCATGGGAGGAGGGAGGAAACGTCTGCCGGGCACGTGCAACACCAGGAAACTCATAAAATCTTTGCTGGCTGTGAAATGTATTGTGCTGGGGAAGAGTCACTAGGACCGGGAGCTGTGAGGTCCCTAAGTGTGGAGCTGAGTTCTCGCATGAAATTTTTCTCTGAGCCTCCGGGGCCCCGAACAGAACCTACGTGGGAGGATCCAGTGTGTGTCCAGCACAAGGCCCGGTGTCTGGCCTGGCAGGAGGGCTCTGTCCATTTCTGTGTGCTGGACACTCCCTCCAGCATCTCCCATCCTGCGTAGCCATGCTTTCTCCGCATGGGTCATGTTCCTAGAGAGCAAACGAACCCCCTTGGGGTTTAGCACTGTTAGATCCAGAGCCAGCTCTGCCCTGCTCTGGCCTGCAGTGCGGTGGGTCCCCAAGAAGCCCCCCTCACCCAGTGTGGGGAGCAGACGGAGCAGGTGAATTCAGATTCCTCAGTAATCCGTGGCCCCTTGCATTGGAGGGTAATCCTCTTGGGCCTGGTGGCTGGGGGAAAATAACAGATCCCTGAAAGCTTTGAAAAGCCCTGAGGGCAGGGAGAAACTAATCTGATTGAGCACATCTGCCCATCGGAATAGACTGCTGGCTGCCAGCAAGGCCGTGGGATCTCGGTGCCACAGCCAGCACGGTGCACAGCGCCGTGTCTCTGCCAGAGCCGTGACCTTGACCCCGCCACCTTCTGCTCCGGGAAGGAAAGAGCTCATATCTGTTGAGTGCCTGCAAACAGCATTGACTCAAGTCAACCCAAGGTTCAGGAAAACCTTGACAATTTTGCAAAACATATTTTTTTTCTTTTTATTTTTATGAGGGGGTGGTAATTAGGTTTGTTTGTTTATTTATTTATTTAATTGAATTAATTTATTTATTTTTAATGGAGGTACTGGGACTTGAACCCAGGAACTCATGCATGCTAAGTATGCACTCTACCACTGAGCTATATACCCTCCCCTTCTTTCTTTTTAAATTGCAGAAAGAATACATGAATCATTGGAGAAAAAATTAGGGAATACAGATAATCAAAGAGCATCAGAGAACAATTCAAATGGCCTACAATTCACCTTTCCAGAGAGAACCATTCATTCTCTCAAGGAATATCCATCGGGCACCTGCTGTGTGCCGGGACTGTGCTGGGTGGGACCTGGTTCCTGTCCTCCTGGAGTTCAGATCTGTTAATGACCTGCTAATGGCCAGGTGGTGGCCACCGATACTAGCACTTGAAATTAAACAATCTGAGTGTGAGCAGTGCCCTGAAGACACTGAGCAGCCTCTGAACTGAGCTCTGGAGGGCACCTGATAAAGTGGGTGAGGGGATGACCTCTCCCAGCCAGAGGAGGGGTCAGATTCCTAATGTCTGGATCCAGGCTTGGGGGCGGAGTGGGGCCGTGAGGCTGGGGAAGGTGGCGAGGCCTGGCCAGCGGGCCCCACCCAAGGATTTCGGCGGACAGGGGCCTCTTGCCCTTGGGAAAAGGGCAGCTCTGTCCTTGCCTTTTCTTGCCCGAGTTGCCCTTGTACAAGGCAAGGCCAGGTGTGTGCTTTGGAGACAGTGCAATGCCAGGTCCAGCTCCTGCCAGACCGGACCCGGGAAGGAGGTGAATGCGGGTTGCTGTAAGCCGCTTTGGACCTGGTCAGCAGTCATTTCTGCTCCTACCTGGCAAAGACCAGGGCCTCACGTCACCATCTCTGCCCACACACTGGGCTGTTGCCTGGCTCCCTGAGAGCATGGAGATGCAGGCTTCCCAGAGTCGGTGTTTCATTTCTCAGTGACGTCTTTCGAGGCCTTGGTGAGGAACGCGTTGCATCCGCTGTTGGGCAGCCTGCAGTGGTTGCTCCCTTATCTCTCAGAGAGCGCGGGCATCTGCTGAGAACTGGGTCAGGAGGCGCCGGTGGTTGTGCACAGGTGTTCGAGTGCTTTGTCTGCTGTTCCTCGGCGGCGAATGTGTGCGTGAGCTCAGCTGGGTCGCCCACTGCCTCTTCTTGCTACCGAATGCAAGTGCATGTGCCCGATGCACAGTGAAGCTGACCAAACCGAAACGTCGGGGTCTGGAGTAGAGGAAGGTGTATTGCAGGGCCGAGCGAGGAGAATGGGTGGCTTTTACCCCAAAACCCAACTTCCCGAGAAGTTTTACAGGGAGATGTTTTTACAGGCAAAACTTGGGGTGAGGGCTGCAGGGTGTGTGACTTTCTCCTGATTGGCTGGTGGGGAGGTAACGGGGTGGTGCTCCAGGACTCTTGTGCTCTGCCTGAAGTCGCAGTCCTCCCCCTGGGGGCCTTAGATCTGGCAGAACTCAAGATATTGTTATGTATGTTCCTCGAGGAGGAACCAGGACCCTGCTCCACAGCTGCACCCTTGTTTAAGTGTTCCTCCCTTGTCGCTACACTCCCTCCCTTCCTGACCAGCAACTGTGAGGTTGAGCTTGGAGGCCAAGGTGACCGGACCAGGAGACCAGGCCTGGGGGTGCACCATCTAATGTGTGTGTCGGGCAGTACGAGGGGACTGCGGTCAGGGAAGGCTTCCAAGAGCCAGTGACTTCGAGGTGAAGGACACGGTGAGGTTGGCGGAGTGAGGCGGGGAGGGAGCAGGATGCTCCGGGCAGAGGGGCTGCACAGACGACGGCTTGTCAGCAAGGAGAGCAGGTGCCTTCAGAGAGCTTCAGCGGCAGAGGCCACAGCCAGGTGTGCGTGGTTTCCCCCGAGTGAGGGGGTTAAGGCCAGATTCCCCAGCAGCTCCCCCTGCGGAACCTCCCGCAGCGGAGGCTGCCCCTGGGGCCTTCCACAGCTGCTGACTGTGAGCCCTCGGTCCCCTTGACCCTTGGGCGGGATCACGCAACGCTCATGTTTAGTTTTTGTTATATCCAGCTCCATGTGACTTTGTTTCATGCAACTTATTTCCAGGACTTTCCTATATGTGGTCATTGTTCCTTTAGTACTTCCTGAGCTGGTGACATGTTTGTCCATGGAGTGTCATGTCTTTTTGCCACCGTCCATTGATATGAATGTATTCCAGTTATCCTGCAAAACGAATCACCCCAAAACTTGGTGATTTAAAACAACAGTGACGTGGGCTGTTTGGTGGTTCCTGTGCTGGTTTCGCCGGGGCTCATTCCACTCCTCAGACGGTTGCTGGAGGATCCGCTGGGCTGGAAGGTTCAGGGTGGCCTCGAGCACACGTGTGAGAGGCGGTGCTGGCTGTTCCCGGGGCACCTGGGCCCTCCTCCTTGTGGCCTCTTCTCCCCCGAGAGGCTAGACCTGCCTCCTTACAAGGCAGCCTCAGAATGGTGCTCACAGGGGTGAGGGCAGAGGTTGCAAGACTTCTTAAAGCCTTGCCTTGGAAGTCACATGGTGTCACTTTTTTTTTGTTTTCCAGTTTTATTGAAGTATACTTGGCATACCGCATTAGTTTAAGGTGTAAACAACATAATGGTTTGATATACGCATCTACTGTGAAATGATCAATAAGTTTTAGTTAACATCCATGAGCTCACACAGTTTTTTTTTCCTTATGATGAGAACTTTTAAGATCTACCCTCCTAGCAACTTTCAAATATACAATACATTGTTATTAATGTCGTCCCTCTGCTGCACATCACCTCCCCAGGACTAATTTATCTTGTAGTGGAAGTCTGTACTTTTGACCATCCTCACCCATCCCCTGCCCCTCCGCAGGCAACCCCCGGTCTGTTCTCTGTACCCATGAGCTTGGTTTAAGATTCCACATTTAACTGATACCACAACTAAGAACCCGTTGACAGAGTTTAAACTCAGTATCGAAGATAGTGGGGAGTCACCGAAGGGCTTTTCCCCGCCTGGAGGGGCAGGACCAGATTTGCAAGGTCACTGTGACTACGGCCCCCTGACCAGTCCTAAGGTGGAATTAGTGAGGACCAGACGGGAGGGCCACCTTAGTCCCCAGGCCTCACCGCTGTTGCTAACTGCTGTGGAGCACCTTCCGTGCTCCATGTGCTGGTGTGAACATTTGGGGTACGTTTTCTCGTTGAATCTAACAGAAGCTTTAGGAGGTATAGGTCCCACTTTACAGATGAGCAAGCTGAGGCACAGAGAGGGTGCAAGATCTGTGCATGATCACGCAGCCGGAAGCGATGGCATGGGGATGCGAGCCCAGGTGCGACAGATCTGGAGTGTGTGCCTTTGGGCTTCTGCTTCTCCCTCAGGTAAGTTCGAGGACAGGGAAGACCATGTCCCCAAGCTGGAGCAGATAAACAGCACCAGGATCCTGAGCAGCCAGAACTTCTCCCTCTCCAAGAAGGAGCTGCTGAGCACAGAGCTGCTGCTGCTAGAGGCCTTCAGCTGGAACCTCTGCCTGCCCACGCCCGCCCACTTCCTGGACTACTACCTCTTGGCCTCCGTCAGCCAGAAGGACCACCACTGCCACAGCTGGCCCACCACCTGCCCCCGCAAGACCAAAGAGTGCCTCAAGGAGTATGCCCGCTACTTCCTAGAGGTCACCCTGCAAGGTGGGCCTGGTGTCGGAGCCTGTCTGCCCTTCTTACCTGCACAGGGGCGGCGGTCCGGGGGCTCCGAGAGGCCCGCACCCAGGGAGTCCTTCCTAATGGGGGGGGGGGGCGCATCCACCCAAATCACCAGGTCACTCCCCCACTTGGCAGAGATAAGCAGAGAAGGAGCGAGGATGTGCCCCGTGGGTTAGCAGTAACGTGTGAAAGAGAAATAGCAGCTTATATGCAGGCGGCCAGCTGGTAGCCTACTTGTTTACTGACCAGCTAGTAATTTTTTATACGTTAACCTGGAACATGGCAAGTGATCTAAATAGCACAGATTCACAGGTAGGTCATTCTGGGAGAGCTAGAGTCATACAGGTAGGGTGGGAGAGAGGACTATGTTCCCAGCTGCTTTAGCAATAGTTACTCTGTTTATTTGAATCTCATCTTCCCGATGTCTTAAAATCTAGATATTAGGGGGGAAAAATCTAGATATTAGGTAAAAATACTAGGTCATTTGAACCTCATGACGACTCCACATGAAAATCATTTCTGCTGTTCTCATTTTTAAAAATCAGTTTCCTTTATGGATACTCGAGAGATGAAGTAACTTACACAAGATCATTGCTAGCGTTTGGACCTGGGGAGTCTGACCCTGCGTCTGTAACCTGGGTGATGCACGCTTTAACAGGCAAACATTGAAGTCTTTGAAAATCATGAACAATTTAAAACAGCATAGTAATACCCTGATAACCGAGTGTCCTTCCTGAAAATTGTGGGAATTTCAACAGCTTGCCTTTTGCATACAAAGGTAGTGCCAGCTTTACCGTGTTGTTAGATATCTTAGTAGGACGTGAAGATTTCTCAGATCATTTCACTATGTGCACATGTGCCGAAAACATCACATTATACACCTTAAGTATGTACAGTTTTTATTTGTCAACCATACGTCAACAAAGCTGGGAGGGGGAGAAAGAGTCCTCAGTAAACGTAAGTCAAGGGCCAGTTTTAGTTATGAATATCAAACTCTTGTAGCCATTCATTCATGCTTTCATTCAGCAGATTTTTACTGAGTGCCTACTGTGGGCCAGGCCTTGTCACTATTAATAAGGAGCCTGCAACTGGAAGGACAGATGTTTGGCGGGTCTGCTTGTAGCCCGCCAGCAACCCCTTGCAGCTCCTGGAAGACAGGGGACAACATTTTGAAAATCACTGCTTTAGGCTGACGGCAGAAATCCCAGACTGCGAGCCAAGGTGTTTTAAGATTCAAGAACGGAGCTTCACGCTGTACTGAGCTCTCATCGTGTGTGTATGTGCAGTGAGCAACCTTGAACTTAATCATTTGTCTACCAATTCCCGGGAGACACCAGGCAGGAGGGGCCCCGGGACTCCAGGGCATGGCTTTATGACGCTGACTCCCTCTGTGATTCTCCTTCAGATCACATTTTCTACAAATTCCAGCCTTCTGTGGTCGCTGCAGCCTGCGTGGGGGCCTCTAGGATTTGCCTTCAGCTTTCTCCCTCCTGGACCAGAGACCTGCAGAGGATCTCAAGCTACTCCCTGGAACATCTCAGCACGTGCATCGAAATCCTGCTGGTGTAAGTTCCTCTCCTGATCCTTCCGTGTTTCTGAAATGTCGAAGTTCCACTTGCTCGTGAGGCCCAGGAAAGTGGGCCACGGTAACTGCTGATGGAGTTGGGGTTTGGGGGCTCAGTCCTTCCTATTTCGCCTAGCTTTGGGTTTGCCGTTTTCAGGTTGGGGGTGAGGGGGACACGAGGGGCTTCTGAGTGTTGGCTCTGGGATCGATCCAGCGTATCCGTCCGTCTTCTGGGTGATCGCACTGAGAGACTCGCATTATAAGCGGCTTTTCTCTGAAGTGGACACAAAGTCGACTCCCAGCCAGCTGAGCCCAGGGTGGCTTCGCACAAGAGGCCACAGCCTCCTTGCAAGGGCCCCTGGGAATCTGGGGGAGGAAATGCTCAGTGTTTCAGAGAGGATGCTTAAAGCATCGCAGATGCACACCATGAAAGTAGAGGCAAAAGAAGTCAGCAGTAACCTCGGGGAGGAGGGCAGAGTCCAGAAAGCTCCTGATGGCTTCCGCCTGATGGCTGGCAGCATCTCCTGGATGCTGGCCCCGCTGACCACAAGGCCAGGCGCCTGAAGAGCCAGCTCAGCCTCCTGATGCAGCTGCCTGTCTCAGTCCTCGTAATCGGTCCTGCTTGCTAGCCTGTATTTTAAAATCTTTGCCTTTTAGAAGGTCCCCAAAGCCGGGGAACCTTCTGGTTTGAGTGAGGATGGATGCCCCTGGGTACTGAGCCACCGGCCTTGCCTCTGCCTCTTCACCACGGCTGTCCCTCTGTGGTAGCCCCCTTCTCAGATCTGCTGCAGCCTCCACTTTCTCCTTTCTTACAGAAGCCTCTAATTGATTGGTTTCCCCAAAAAGCCTTCTTATGGGAAGCTTTGGGGGGTTTTTTTGAGGTGGAAAAAAAACCTGTTCCATCTCCCTTTTCAGAGGGAGACACTTAGGTCCCTGGGGGCAACCTGCTTGAAGTCTGCAACCTCAGGAGCGAGCCAGCCAGGGATGGAGCTGCCAGGAAGTGGCTTGAAGGCAAAGGTTGAGTTCACCTAAGCCCTGGGAGCTCTGCCGTCTCGGGAAGGTGCTGTGCCCAGTGTGGGGGGTTCAGTGATGAGCAAACGCGAACGAGTCTTCCCTCTCGGGGCTTGGACTCTGCAGGAGGGGCCCAGTGGTGACCTGGAAGTTGCCGCCTGCAGTGTAGACTGCCGAGGTGGGCCATGCAGGGGCTGCAGGGACAGCTGGCTCATCTTGAGGGGTCAGAAGAGGGCTTTTGTAGGAAGCAGGTCCAAGCTGAGACCTGAGGCCGGAGTTTAGTCGGAGAACCGCTGAGGCAGTGGTACTGGCGGTGAGCACAGGCCGGGTGCAGCCCGGCGGTCGTGGCACACACAGCTCGTCGCATCCCACTCAGCTCAGCAAGGCAGCTGTGTGGTGCTGTGGCCTCAGACCTCCCGAGTCTCACCCAAGTCCTTTTCTTTCAGAGCTTATGACAACGTCCTCAAGGATGCCGTCGCGGTCAAGAGCCAGGCCTTGGCGATGGTGCCCGGCACACCCCCAGCCCCCACCCAAGTGCTGTTCCAGCCGCCCACCTACCCCCGCCTCAGCCAGCCAACAGCGACGGCCCTGGCCCACTTCCAGACCCCCGTGCGGGACCTGTGCTTGGCCTACCAGGACCCGCTGCTGCCCCCCCATTCGGGGACCCTGCTCTCAGGGGGCACCGGCTCGTCCCTCCACGCCCTGTACCCCGCCCTGCCGCCCCTGGACGTGTGTCCCGTGGCCCTGCCCCGCGTCCCTCGGCATGCAGATGGCCATCACCTCTGAGCCCAGGCACTGCCTCGCCGCCACCTATGGGAGCAGCTACTTCAGCGGGAGCCATGTGTTCCCTGCAGGCTGTTTCGACAGATAGAGCACCTTTAGCCACCCAGGGAGATCTTGGCAACCCAGGAGGTGGAGGACACCGACGAGGGGAGCTCAGCCCAGTGAAGTGCCTGGGAGGCCGTCCCCACAGAGCCTCAGGGCCCTTGAACGGAGAAGGTCCGTGCTCTTTTTAAATAAAACTGACCCAGCTCAAGGCAGTTAATGACATACCTCAACCAAGAGCATTCGTCTGGAGAACATTTTCCACACGTGGCTGGGGTGCAAGGGGATGGCTTGGTGGCCATCTCTGGAGAAGAGCCCAGGGGGTTGACAAAGACCTGGGACGAGGCCAGGAGACGGGGGACTGGATGCCGACCACGAGCACGGCCAGATTTTAGCATCAAAGACTCCTTTGTGCTTTGCTGATGGCAGCTACACCACTGAAAAGGGGGGGCAGCCTGACCTGTTCTCAGGACCCCCAGTAGATGCCGTCTGGGGTGCTTTTCTTTCCCTGGCTCCATACACAGGGGCCCATGTGTGCATTCTGCCTTCCGAGGCACGGTGAGCGGCTGTCTTGCTTTTGTTGTGGAACCTAAAACCTCCTTCAGCCTTTTATATATTTTACTTGCTGCTGCTTCCCGAAGTGACCTAGCTTTCTGTTCAGTAAGATGTCTTGTTTACATGCTGCATCAGGGATTCTGTGATACTTGAAGATTCCTTAGGACTGAAAAACCATGGTGATTGACACACTGCCTGTCCCACGCCAGGGCTGTGGGTTTTAACCTGGCTTGGGACTGACCCTGGAGGTCAACCCAGAGCTCCCTTTGCAAAAGCATATGGCCGGGGAGAACCGCTTTCCAGGCTCTCGGTTCCAGGAGATTCCACGTCTTGGATGCTCTGTTCACCTGCACGACTTCGATAACCACCCAGAAGAAAAAGGTTGTTGAAAAGTAAACAAAGATTTAAAACCAATAAACCCCACCTCCCTTCATCACACGCTTTCTAGTGCATAAGATTAAACCCAGCCTCGGCTTGGTGTTTGGCTCAGAGCAAAGGATCGTAATGTGGGATGAATGCCTAATGCCAACTGGATTTGGGGAGTAGGGGGTGTGCCAGGTCTGTGCCCCCACCGACAGCTGATTGGATTGAAAGCCAGCATTTGGGTTTCTGCAGTGAGAGGGCTCTCGGGAAGACCCTCGGAGCCATGTGCAATATGTTTTATCCTGACTCGTGGCTTGTGCTCAGTATGTTTCATTTTTTGGTTGGTTTGGGGTCGGGGGATACATTGTTTGCGCGCTAGAACTGGGAAGTGCAAAGAACCACAGAAGCGTCTTTTTTGTTCTTTTTTAAAAAAGAACCCATCTTGGATTTCTTGGCTTGTTTGCCAGTCCAGGAGGCTGGCAGGGAGGCTGCCGGGAGTCGGATCCGAAGGCGGTTTTCCGAGCAGACAGAAGGCTCAGCGTGGAAGTTGAGTCAAGAGGAGACGCTGGACGCGGACAGGCTGGGGCCACTTTGTCACACCAGCATAGGAAAGTGCACGTTCGTTTGTTGTTTTTCTCTTTTTTCCCTTTGCCCAGCCTCTTATTTATATGCAGCTGGTTTGGATTCCAAGTTACTGTGTCTGTTCTGAGGCTGGGCGCCTGTGAGCCCCACCCCCACCCCAAGTAGAGCCTCACAGCCAGCCCAGCCCCCAGAAAAAGCGGTCCAGCAATAAACGTATCACCTGTTTCTTCCTGGCCTCCTCTCAGCCAGCCCTCCCTCGCTCTTCCACGTCACCCCCGCGGGGCTGAGAGGTTATGGGGGGAGGGTGACAGCAAGACTGGCTCCTGCCCTCAGAGCTGGCCTCCCGGGGACATGGGCTGGGCAGCAGGGGTGAGTGAGGCTTGACATCCCAGCTCTACCACTGAATCGGGCAGGTTCTCCAGAAAAACAGAACCCATTATATAGGTAGTGAGAGAGATTTATTTTAAGGAAATTGGCTGAACATTGCATGAATGCCTGGATTAGGGTCAGGGTGAAGGTTCCACTTCGTCATGCCCTCTGGGTTCGAGGTCCAGCTCTCCAAAGCCATCTGTTCTGTCGTCTGAAATATATCAGTGATTCTCAGCAGGACTCACTTTTGCCCCCCTGGGAACACTTGGTGACGTCTGGAGGTATTGTCCGTTGTCACAGTCGGGAGAGGGGCATGGCTGGCATTCCGTGGGTAGGACCCAGGGCTGCTGCTCCACATCCCACAGTGCACGGGACAGCCCACAGTAATGACCTGACTGGCCCCAAGTGACGACGGTGCCCAGGCTGAGAAACCTCAGCTCCTGCATCACCTCCCAGAGAGGGCTCTGTCACTCCCCTAGGCTCCCTCCTTGCCCCCTTTCATTTTCTTCATAGCTGTGAAATCACCTGGAGTGATCTTGTGAGTTTGTTTACTGGGTTTGACGGCTGTGCCCTAAGCCACCCCCAGCCAGTACAACATATACAACATCACCGCCTGGTGACGGTGGCTCTGATCACGCACTTGGCATTTATTAGCCATTTGCAGTCTGTAATTCACTATGCTAAGGAATTTGCTGATATTATGTCTTATAATCATCCTAATAACCCTACAAGGCAGGAACTATTATTAGCTGTATCTTACAGGTCTGAAAACGGGCACAGAGAGCTTCTTTGCCCAAGGACAGCAATAGTGAAGGAAGGAGCCACAGCTGAAACCCAGCCAGCCCAGAGCTGACGCGCTGCCCCGAGGTGCCTCAGTCAAGGGTTTTGAATGAGCGCAAGGCTCCAGCTGGTGGTACCACTCACCTGGTGGAGAGGACGTGACAGGATGATGGATGTGGGTTTGTAAAAAAGCTGCCAGGCATTCATGCTGCTTTTTTACAGGGGTGTGGGGGTTCTCAGCGTGCGCAGCAGCAGGCAGAAATACAGCAACATAGCTTTTCGTACATCTGCCACAGGCTGACAGGATTTACTGCTCCTCCTGTCTGCCCCCAACCGGCTGTGATCTGGGAGGGGGTCCCCAAGCCCCATCTGTGAAGGTGAAAATCTGGGACCAGGCTTGGGGCTTCCCCAGAGCATCCCCTGGGAGAGACCCCACCTCTGGGCTGGCTCTGGCAATCCCTGGCACCAAATTCTTGAGAAAGACTCTCACCAGCCTCATTAACCTCATTCTCTGTTTCTCAGGCAAGCCCTTTGTGATGAATTTCAGCAGAAAGGCCATAGCATTTGGCAGGAGTCTCAAATCCACATGCCCATCAGGACCAGGCGGGTAACGTAGTGAGTGAATCAGCCAGATGATGGAGACAATGTGATGGGGTGGGGCCTACTGAAGCCTGTGTTAAAGTACTGCCTTTCAGGGATCTCATCTCTGTGCTGCCACAACTTCAAATTCCAGAGAAACTGGAAGGACACTTTCTAGGAAATTAACGTTTCATGATTTAAAGAATTAAATTTAAAAATTTTGTAATGCAACAGAAGACACACAGGTTAGAGTGGTTCTCAGGCTGGAAACTTGCAACCTTTAGTATATAGACTAGAACGTTGGGCCTAACAGGTGGAAGGTCTGAGTTTGCTCATAGCAAACTGAGAAAAGCTGCTTCTCCACTCTGAGCCTCCGTCTCTTCATTTATAAGGTGGGAAGGCCGTCAGTCTGAACTATATACTTCAGGTTTATGATAAGAAAGCCTAGAATGTATGGAATCATTATTCAGCGGGGAGTTCTGTGAGGAATATTGTCAATAAGAGGGCCCCTTTCTTTTTTGGGGAGGCTCAGGTGAGCCCCAGAGCTTCATCTCCCTCCAACCCAGCTCTCGCTCTAAAGGAAGAGCTCAAGTGGTCTTGCTTCTGCTGGCCCAGCTCCGACCAGTGTCCAGTCCCCAGCCCTTGCCAGAGCCATAGCAGGCAGCACACACTGGATGTCAGGCCTCCTGCTGCTCCCCAGCTGTGTGGACGTGGGCAGGGCATTCCCCTTTTCTAGATCTCAGTTTTCTTCGTCTGTAAAATGGGAGGGTTTGGCACTGTCTCCAAGGTCATCATACCTGGCTGCAGAGCACTTCAGAACAGTGGCAGCTCCCTGGTCTTCGTACCTGAAGTGTCCCCACTTCTGCAGGTCTGCGGTGGGTCCTGGGCTGTCCTTTTAATAAGACCCCCAGGAAATACACGTGCACAGCCAGGTTTGGACACGTCTCCCTGCCCTGAAAGCTCTGACCCAGTGTGTGCTGGTTCTCACCAGTAGAACCGCCAAGAAAGGCCCTGTTTAGTGAGCACTTACTGTGCTCCACGCCCCGTATTTGACACTTTCCTCATGCTCTCTTATTCCCCCTGCTCTTCTTTTTTGTCCCCATGACAACATCATGAGCTAGGATTATTATCACCATTTTCCAGATGAGAATACTGA